CCCTTCTTAAGCTTTTCTTGTTCGTTCTCAAATTTAAGCTTCCCCTTCAGCTTCCTTCAAAAAAACAATACAAATTTTGCAAAAGGGCTTCTTCTTTCTCAAATTCGATTTTGAGAAAGATCAGGTTCCGGGTAGGGGAAGAAAATGAGAAGGGCTAAAAGAGGGGCTTAAGAAGAAGGCTTTCTTAAATTGAAATTTTAAGGAAACTTTAGAAGGGACTTAAAGAGGCTGAGAGGCTGAGAATTTTCTTAAACTGCTTGCAGACATGCGCAAGTTGGATCCACGTAAAGAAGAAAATCTGGCAATAGAAACATGTTCGGAACGTGACAGGGCAGGCACGCCATCTAAACGAACCAAATCATGCCGGTGGTCTGCGCTGTTAAGACAACGGGCGGCAGTTCGAAGGCCCTCTGTCTCTTCAAAGCCTTTGGAAGCCCCCTTCGTCTTGTCTTTAAAAGTCTTCAAAGCAAGAATTCAAAGTTACAGGCCTTGGCTGCAGCGTCTTTTTCGTTTTTTGTAGAGGACTGCTTGCGAAGTGGTCGAGTTGGTCGCTTTGTTTAGAGCTTGGTGTTTTTCAGTGTCTTAAACCAGTTTTGCCACCTTGGAGGTGTTGCCTGGAAGTGTTTTGGTAGAAGGGCAGTACAAAGTGTAAGCATGCAAAAGAGAAGCGTGCAGGGCTAAAGTGTAAGTTTTGTAGGGCTGTGGGTTGCTTGCAGCGTTTCGATCTTTTACGTGGTCGCGGAGCATGGCTTCCACTGCAAACAAAGAGCCCAATGCTTACAGGGTTTTTAACAGTTGCAGGCTTTGTCTTTGGAGCAAGCATATTGATGCCACGTGGGCGCCACAGAAGAGTGCAGAGGGTTGTGCGTTCTGGCCGGGCCAAGAACACCACTGTATGACCGCCTTAGTGCCTGCAGACATTCAGCAAGCAAGCCTGGGCCGCAAGAGGTAACCAGTTACTTAACTGACCATCAGGGTTGTTCGTCTACGTTGCCAGCGTTAGGGCTTTTCAACTTGGACGGAAGAGGGTTAATGTTGCCACCTATCGCTGGGTGCAACGCCAGTAGTGTCGCGGAACAAGGCCCGTGGCCTGCTCCCACACCGCCGTGCAAGTGCGCGAGTTCATTGAAAGCACCTTTTAGCTTCCGTGAGGATTTAGTGTCTCTGGAACGGCGAATCTTGGAGTTACGCAAGGATTCGCCAATCGGCTGTTGTCTTTCTTGCGGAAACGCGTACCGTGAACTGGGTGGAGTGTCAAAACAGGCGCGGCGGCGCGGCTCCTTCCTCTGCATCCATGGCCTACGCGCCGTTGGAAACTCGCGTTTTGCGTTCTTACTTAGCACCATGTTTGGCGTTCCCAGACATGCTTTTAAAGGCTCGGTCGGCAAGCTGTGTTTTTTTAGCTGTGTTCGGCGCGGGGCCCGAAGTTAAGACCACAGTTCGGGCTTCAAAGCCCGTGGCTGTGTTTGTTGCGCGTTTTGGGGAGGAAAAGAAAGGACTTTATTTTGAATTAGAAACGAGGTGGGAGGACGGGAGAAATTAAAATCTGGTGGGAGGAAGGGAGAAGAGGGAAGGGAATTTATTCTAAATTCCACCCCTTCGAAAATCAAAGGAGTAGAGAGGTTTCTAGAAGTACAAAGCGGAGGGGTTGGGAGGGGCGCAGCCCCCCCGCATTTGCTTATTGTGAGGGGAGAAGAGACAAGGGGCCTTCTTCTAAATTCAACCCCCCCCCCTTTCTTCTTTCATTCTTCGAAAATCAGAGGAGTAGAGACGAGACTGCTTTTGTTTCTAGAAGTAGAACGCGGGGGGGTTGGGGGGGGCGCAGCCCCCCCCATTTCCATTTGGGGCGCAGCTCCCCCCATTTGCTTGTTGTGGAGTGGGAGGAAGGGGAGAAGAGAGAACGGGCCTTATTCTAAATTCCACCCCCGCCGAATTTGGTTTTGTTTTGTATTTCTCATTCTTCGCAATTCAGAGGAGTAGAGACGAGACTGTTTTTGTTTCTAGAAGTAGAAAGCGGGGGGAAGAGAAAGGGGCTTTATTCTAAATTCCACCCTCCTCGAACCTTGTTTTGTTTTGTGTTTCATTATTCGAAAATCAGAGGAGTAGAGACGAGACTGTTTTTCTTTCTGCCCCCCCCCATTTGCTTGTTGTGGAGTGGGAGGAAGGAGGGGGGGTGTGGGGGGCTTCCGAATTTCCTCAAGCCCCTTCGAGAAGGGGGGGGGCTTCCGAATTTCCTCAAGCCCCCTTCGAGAAGGGGGGGGGTTTGCGAATTTCCTCAAGCCCCGTTCGAGAAGGGGGGATAGAGTCTTGCGAATTTTCTCAAGCCCCTTTCGAGAATTCTTTCTCAAGCCCCCCTTCAAGCCCCTTCTGAAGCCCCCCTTGAATTCGAATTTGAGGAAGCCCCCCTTCTCAAGCCCCCCTTCAAGCCCCTTCTCAAGCCTTCATTGTTCCCCCCCCCCCCGGGACCCCTTCCTTCCTCGAATTCGAATTCGAGGAAGCCCCCCTTGCTCAAGCCCCCTTCGAAAAATTCGTAAAGATCATGCCCCCAGGTATGATGGCCGGAGCCTCGCTGCTTCAGTCGAACAGAACAGAATGAACTTAAATCATTAAGTATATTCCCGATGTAAACATTTATAAAGGTATTGGGCCTCTTTTTCCCAAAGATTTATGCGGAAGGCCAAGCAAGTCTGGAGCAAGATTTGGTGGCCCCCAGAACTTCAGCTCTCAAGGGTCTGGAGTGAAAGTTTCCGTCGTTTTCAGAATAATACTCTTGGCTTCGACAAATGCCCAGACGGCCCAGACGTCCTGTCACTTAAACCAACGTGTCGGGCTTGGGGTTTGCAGTTCAGTTTCGGGGTTGGGCGCTTAGTGTTTATGGGGTTTAGGGTCTAGGGTTCATAAGGTTTAGGTTTTAGGGTTTAGGATTTAGTTCAGTTTTAGGGTTTGAGGTCTAAGGTGTTGGGTGGAGTAGGGTTCAGGGTGTAGGGTTTTGGGTTGCGGGTTTGGGTTTCGGATTTGGGGATTTTGGGTTTTCGGGGCTTTTGGGTTTTAGGGCCCCCAAACCCTCCCTTGGCTCAGGAGACGGCGGTCGTGAGGACGATCCACATCATTCCACATCAGGCCTCTGTTGCCATTGCCGGCTACTGCAAACACGCGCAGAAGATACTGCGAACGACGTGGCAGGTTGTGCCAGCCACAACAAGTTTTGCCCGCTGCCTACTAACAACTCCGCCCGCTCCGCTTGCCCTTCCCCCCGCTTTCCCGCATGGCGCCCCAGTGCAGCTCCGCTTGCTCCGCCCGCTCCGCTTGCTCCGCCCTTCCCGCCCGCCTTCCCGCATGGCCCCATCCCTTCCCCTGGCTCCTGGCCCCGTGCCGCCCGCCCTTCCCCCATCCCTTCGACCCCCATGGCCCCCCAGGGACCCCCCTATGCCTCTAGACCCGATGAGATGACTTTACAGGGCCCCAGTGCATGCCCGCCCGCTCTCCCGCCCGCCTTCCCGCGTGTCCCCATCCCTTCCACCCCCATGGCCCCATCCCTTCAACCCCCATGGCCCCCAAAGACCCCCCTATGGCCCTCAAGGCTTCCCTTCGTGGCCCGCAGGGACCCTGCTCCTGGGCCCCTGACCCTCAAGGGCCCTCAATGGCCCTCAATGGTTCCATTCCCCCACCACACCCAGTCCAGGCTAGCACACCCATGTCGCCTTCCCATGGCCCCATGGCCCCATAGACTAGACCCTATCAGATGACTTTCAAGCACCCCATACCTTTTTGCCCGCTCCACTCGGTTTGGGGCCTCTACATGGCCCCATGGCCCAATGGCTCCATGGCCCAATGGCTCCATGGCCCCCATGGTCCCCTGGCCCTATGCCTCTAGACCCGATCAGATGACTTTACAGGGCCCCAGTGCGAGCTGGCAAGAAGTTTCGCATTGAAGCTGCCGGGGGCAGTTTGCACACCCTTCAGTGCGGCTGGCCCTTGCACAAAGTCCCCTCCCCAGAGAAGGGATCCTTAAATTCCTTAAATGTTCATTCTAGCCCACGTGACAGACCGCCCACGGAGGTGAACAGGGGCCAGATCGGAATTCTTGGGCTTTGTCACGTTGTTCTCTGGGGCGGGGCTTCTTGTGAGGATGTTATCATATTCGAGAACACACCCTTTTATGACATGAACATTCTCTTCAGCCACCTTGGCCGCTTGGCAAAAGAATACGCCAATGCTATGGGGTTCTTACGTCCGGAGTCAAGAAGGCTTTCGCATTCTCTCTACCGCAACCGACTTCTCGGGCTTCCCGAAATTTATGCGAAACTGTCGTCGCTTTGGTTCTGCCGTGGGCATGGACGTCGACGTCCTCGAAACTGTCGTCGCTTTTGGACCTCGGGGTGCGCCAAGATGCGAGTCTGTTGTCAGCTTTTGGATGTCGGGGTTCGTCAAATGCGAAATTGTCGTCGTGCTGGGGCGTTTTTCATTCTCGAAGTTGTCATCGCTTTGCGACGTCGCCGTCCTCGAAGCTGTTGTTACGGCCGTCGTCTTTGGACGCGCAGGTTCGTGAAGTTTTGGTAGTCTGGAGCTCCTGAGGCAGCAATGGCAGCAACGTCGTTCTTTCGTGACCCATGAAGCTGTTCGTGTCCATGCTTGTTTGGGGTCTACGCGGTCAGAGTTCCACGTTAGGGTTTAGGGTTTACGGTCTAGGGCCTAGGGTTCAGTTTTTAGGGTTGAGGGTTTAGGGTCTAGGGTCTGGGGTTTGTGGTTTAGGGTTAGTTTGGGTGATATTCTCGTACCCTGCTCACAATGACGTTCAGACCTGTACCCCCCAAAATGCAACCTCACAAAACTTAGGCGGGCTGTGCAAGATTGCTTTTGTTCGGTTCTGCGCGAGACACCTGGGCTTTGGCTGCGCACGAGCAAGAGTCTGGGCGGTTCTGACGCATCGACGTTCAGTGAGATGGACTACGACGAAAACATTGGGCGAGTTGGTGTCTGTTTTCTTCGCAACCCCACTCATGAAGGCGCCAGGGCAATTCGTAGGACCCGTCGGCTCCATTCTCTTAAACTTCAACTTCGTAGATACAGTACAGTAGATACATTCTGCTCGCAGGCCGAGGACTTCTTCTATGTCGGGACAATGACAGTGCCACGCGGCCTTGGCTCCTTGAGCCAAGCGTTGCAAGCCCGGAAACGGTCTTACGATGAGGCCTTTCAGGAGAACAAGAAGGCCAGGGCGATGGTCCGGTTCCAGACTGTGTTTTCGATTGCTTTCGTCCCTGCAACTAGAGAAAATAAGGTGTACGATCTTTCGCAATCGCGAAGCTATATGAGAACGGAGTTGGTGGACTCCAGCTTCATGACGCTGACGAAGAACAGCTCTACGATCTTCTCTAGCAAGCACAATCGATCTCTCGCAGCTCAGGAATTGTTCACTGCCTTGTATGTCCCCACGAAGACTGCCTTTGAAGCTTGTCCATAAAGTTTGAGATCTGCAGGCGGCAGCGAATCCAACCCCACCTTACAACATGAAAGCCCATGCCGAGGCGTCGGCGACTGGCAGCCCCGTCATCGACATCAGCAACTTGCCATCCAGCTGAACGGCCGCCGCTCTTATTGGAAACTCCATGAATGTGGCGCAGGCAGGTGCCATTCTGATGGTAGTGGCCTTGTTTCTGGAGAGGGCCTAGCAGAGTCTGGGCCGCTTACAGGGCATCACTGACTGGCTGCGTCCCGTAGGGCCGTAGGGGGCTATTTCGGTATGGAAACTAGACACCGATTATCCCGAAAGCAATCAGTGCAAAGATATCAACTGACACGTATAGTTGGTTGTGTTGTCAGTGCGGTGATCGTGGTGTGGTGTAGTAGGATAGGAAGCAGGTGCGGCGTCGACGGCCAAAAGAACGCGAAACGCAAAGAAGATGGAACGTAACAGGCAGCGTAGAGAAGCGGTGTATATAGCCGGGTTAGAAGTAAATGCTGCGTCGACGGCAAAGAGAGCGCGAAACGCAAAGAAGATGGAATTTAATAGGCAGCGTAGAGAAGCGGTGTAGCTGAGGTGATGGTATTGTAGTGGGGCGATGGACAGGATCATAGGTCTTCGTCAGGCACATCACTATCCGTAGTCAAGCTCTGCAGAAAACATCAGGCGCCATCTTCGTCTAGAAACTCGAGGTGGTTGAAGCCTTGGTAACATGATATGAACATGTCAAGCTTGGCAGCATTGCAAGCTACGTAAGCTTAACAAGCGGCGCGATATTTTGTTCTCCCCACGCAGGCTAAGAATTTCAGAGTGAGCGACTTGCTGCGACATTTGCCAAGCTCAGCATCGTGCCAAAGCAAGTTCTGTTCTTTTGCGCGTTGTCAGAAAGCGACCCGTCCTAAGACAGAAGTGAAGACAGAGGATGATGAGTCTTCGTCAGGCACATCGCTATCCGTAGCCAAGTTCGGCAGAAAACAGCAGTACCACGCCGAGGCTAGTTCTGCTTCTCGGGCATTGTCAGAGAGACTCTACCCAAGACAGTCAGCGCAGAACGTTCCACGTTGAGGTCAGCCTCTGGTCTTGCGCTGGAAGGAGAACGACAAGTCCACAGGCCGCGTCCACCCCAGCATGGACTTCCTTCTCTGCCCAACCTTCACCGGCCTGTCGAAAACATTCACGTCCTGGACCACCCAAGCAAACAAGCTCTCCGCGTCTATCGACCACCAATCGAAGTGACTCCCCCCGGCGATGCAAGTGTCCTGCCTGTGGCCATGGAAGTCATCGTAGTCCCGAAACTCGAAGCAGCCAGCAAAGGTCACCACTCCCAACACCTGAGCCTCGGAAGGCGGAGGCCCGACTTCCACGTCCACGATGGCACCCTCTGTGGAGCCGCGGCCCAAGGTCTCGATGAGGAAGATCTGGTCGCCCTCGGAGAAGCAGGAGTAGTGTCCCAAAGCGAACTTTCTCACTTCCGTGGTCTTCCTGCCCGCCATGATGAGGCGACTCCAGGGGTACTGGATGTTGAGCCCACACAGCGACATGTGCTGAATGGAGCTTTGCACGCCGGCTGGAAGCTTCAAGCTGGCAGCTTGTTCAACAGCTCCGCCTGCTGTGGCAGAATCGCGTATGAAGTTCAAATCTGCCACCGCTTTCTTCTTGGAGTCCCGCAGCGGGCCGTAGATGTTCCTGCGCTCGTCATCTATGTACACGTGTGGGAGATGCGCTCGCCACCCATGACCATGCCTTTGAATGCTACCGCAGGCGCACAAAGGGCGCGGCTTCCTACCACACAGCGACATCCTACAATCACACAGAAAAGATGAGCTGCACAGAGAACATGACATCTCCAGTCAGTTGCCAAGCGACCATCACATGTTCAACTGAGAACAGCACTAATGCAGAGCTGCAAAACTTCAGAGCGCCAGTCCACGAAAAGTCCAGGATGAATACGTCCTAGCACGCAGCGACATGCTAGAATCACACAGAAAAGATGAGCTGTGCAGAGAACATCACATCTCCGCCACACCCACACAGCTTCTGAGCGCCGGTCCGTCATGAGTCCAGGATGAACGAAAGCGAGGCAGCCTTATGTAAGACGACTCCAACACTTATCTCATCCATCTGACCGCCGTGCCCCCCCTCTCCCCCGAGCTTGAGGGCGCCGCTTCGTTGACGTCCAGCAGGGCGACGTCGCGGCGCCGCGTGAAGACATGCAGATCAGGCAAGGAACGTTCGAACTGTGGATACTATTTGCCATCAACTTTTTCAAGCATGCCGTAATTCCGCTTCCGCGCTATTTGCGAGGTTTTCAAGCATGCGCAATTCCGCTTCCATGGTATTTGCGAGGTTTTCGCGCACGCGGAATTCCGCTTCCATGCTATTTGCGAGGTTTTCGCGCAGGCGGAATTCCGCTTCCATGTTATTTGCGAGGTTTTCGCTCATGCCGAAATTCCGCTTCCATGCTATTTGCGAGGTTTTCAAGCATACGGAATTCCGCTTCCATGCTTTTTGCGAGGTTTTCGCGCAGGCGGAATTCTGCTTCCATGCTATTTGCGAGGTTCTCGATCATGCTGCAATTCCTCTTCCATGCTATTTGCGAGGTTTTCAAGCATGCGCAATTCCGCTTCCATGCTATTTGCGAGGTTTTCGCGCACGCGGAATTCCGCTTCCGTGCTATTTGCGAGGTTTTCGTGCAGGCGGAATTCCGCTTCCATGTTATTTGCGAGGTTTTCGCTCATGCCGAAATTCCGCTTCCACGCTATTTGCGAGGTTTTCAAGCATACGGAATTCCGCTTCCATGCTTTTTGCGAGGTTTTCGCGCAGGTGGAATTCCGCTTCCATGTTATTTGCGAGGTTTTCGCGCAGGCGGAATTCCGCTTCCATGCTATTTGCGATGTTTTCAAGCATACGGAATTCCGCTTCCATGCTTTTTGCGAGGTTTTCGGTTTCGCACCACGGCAGCTCCGGGTGTCCGCGGCGTACTACGTTTGTACTACAAAAAGTCGACTTTCCAGCCACGGCAGCTCTGGGTGTCCGCGGCGTACTACGTTCGTACTACAAAAGTCGACTTTCCAGCCACGGCAGCTCCGAGCGTCCGCGGCGTACTACGTTTGTGCTGCAAAAAGTCGACTTTCCAGCCACGGCAGCTCCAGGCGTCCGCGGCGTGCTACATTTGTACTACAAAAAGTCGAGGCAGCTCCGGGCATCCCCAGCTACTATGGGGCCCGTTGTGTTATAACTAGGGTTACAGAAGTTGTAGCCAACTTGTCTGGCACTTACTAAGTGGCATTACAAATCCACTTATAAGTAGGCTAAGTTCCTGGCTTCTCTCCCAAAGCTGGAAAGCCCAAAAGGAAAGGTCTTGAGTTGCATCTCAGCATTCGGGTGATTTGCTTGAAAACCCCCATTGCCAGAAACTCCTCAACCCTATTCGGTTATAAACCCGTAAACCCGAAGAATAATCACCATATAGCTAAGCCCTAACCCTAAATTGCACCCTGAACCCTAAATATGAAACTATATAGCTAAACCCTAAACCATAAATCGTAAACCCTATTATAAACCCTACCCAGTCCTTCTAGAACCTGAAAAATTGTAGGTTCTTTGCGAAAAACCCGGTTTTGGAGGACATAGCTAAGAAAAACCCGGTTTCCTGCCGCAAAACCGGGTTTTGCTCTTGAGCAAGCGCCCGCAACCCGTATTTTACCCGTACAAAACCCGTACTTTACCCGTACAAAACCCGTATTTAAAATATGGGTTCAGGGCTTTCGCCAAGAACCCAGTTTTGAGTTGAAAAACCCGGTTATTTTCAAAAACCTACAATTTTTCAGGTTCTGGAAGGTCTAGGTATATATATATATATATATATATAGCCCTAAACTCTGCAAACCTTATAACTTAACCGAATCCTACAAACATCTCCATGACTCAATGACATTGCGGCTTGAGGTGTCCGGGTTCGCCAGAAAACAGGCGAAAGCCCGCGGACGTGGACCGTTCCCGCGGACATGGAAGCGGACGATTCGGGGCGCGGCGACCCCTAATCTTGCACTAGAGGGCGCGGACATGCGCGGACATGCGTGCAGTCAAGACAGCGTCGCCGCGGACATGGGCCCCGCGGACATTCGCGGACATTCGCGGACATCGCGCGGACATCGCCAACAGCTCAGAAAACTCAGTTTGACAGTCCCGGCCTGGCTCCAGAAGACTGGTCAAGAAACTGAAGACCCCACTGTTACAGCGCGAAAGTCTTCACTGTCAAACACTGCCGATACTTCAGTGTTCCTCGGGATATCTTCGAAGTAGCGACTCTTGCTGCTTCAACAAGAGGTCCCTCTTTGTTTTGGGTCCCACAGACGAACACATGTTCTCCAATCGCTTGAGGAGCCAAGAAAACTGCCGGCAGTACAGGTTTCGACAGCACAACGTGTGAGAGGGCTCCTGGCATGATCTGCAGGCTTTTCTTGCAAACAGTGCAAGAGAAAAGATGGTAACAGCGCATTTTCTTAACTAGGAAATAAGTACAGAATAACCAGAATAAGTTGTTTCAGCTACGGGGTATAAGTCCCTAGCAAGTTTCACAACTTTCTCAAGGACTTATAGACTTATACTTGAGGTTACAGATCTTATAGTCTATGTTACAGATGTTATTACCCTATGTATAACTCTACGGACCCCCTGCTTCCACGCTATTTGCGAGGTTTTCAAGCATACGGAATTCCGCTTCCATGCTTTTTGCGAGGTTTTCGAGCAGGTGGAATTCCGCTTCCATGTTATTTGCGAGGTTTTCGCGCAGGCGGAATTCCGCTTCCATGCTACTTGCGATGTTTTCAAGCATACGCAATTCCGCTTCCATGCTTTTTGCGAGGTTTTCGGTTTCGCACCACGGCAGCTCCGGGTGTCCGCGGCGTACTACGTTTGTACTACAAAAAGTCGACTTTCCAGCCACGGCAGCTCTGGGTGTCCGCGGCGTACTACGTTCGTACTACAAAAGTCGACTTTCCAGCCACGGCAGCTCCGAGCGTCCGCGGCGTACTACGTTTGTGCTGCAAAAAGTCGACTTTCCAGCCACGGCAGCTCCAGGCGTCCGCGGCGTACTACATTTGTACTACAAAAAGT